GTGGTCTGGGAAATATAGAATTGACACAGGTAACTTATTGCTAGGAACTCATGCCAACCACACCACCGAATTCTGGACAAGTCGATCTACCTATTATTTTAACTGCATATTCTAATCACATTATTTTCCTGAGTGTATAATATGCGAGATAATCCTTTTCATCTGTTTTTCAGATACAATTGGACATTGTTGTTTAGTGACATTGTCATCTTTCAGAGGATTCAACGTGTATATAGAAGAGACTTTCCTCGTGACGACAACACCGCAATTTTCATAACTGCAGGTCTTGCCGCTACAGCTGTTTGTTTTTTGGAGAATTATAGAATTATATACTTTTATTGCGGCGGCAAAATGATTGGCCCAAGCAGTAAGATCAGCAAAATACTGCTGGGACTACTTTTGCTACTCATCGTTTTCTACATATATATGGATGTCCAGTTGTACCTGCGTATACAAAACTATCCCCTAGAGAGAAATTATCACTTCAACACAACCACCGATATACCTCAGCGTGATGTAGTGACGTACGAGTCCCAGACATGGCTACGCTGTGATCTCAATCCACTGTGCCATGTCACGGTGAAAGCTATACTCTTAGACCACACAAACCATTATGTTTTTGCGCCATTGGCGACGATATTTGACAATGTTATTGGGTTCTCGAGATCTTCGTTTATAACAGCCAATATGATATCATTTTTCCATGTGGGTGTGGCGTGTGTGGCAGGTAAGCTGGTGTCGTCCGACAGTCTGGGCTATCGGCGCTTGGGTGTGGTCTTATTCCAGTTCCGTACCTTCCTCGATGACCTCGATGGTCATGTGGCCCGAGTTAAAAAGAATATACGCGGCGAACGCTCTGAAGTGGGCACAACGGGTTACTATGTCGATGGCATTTGTGACGGCCTGGGATGTATTGCCCTGCTGCTGGGCATGTTTTTCTACTTGAAAAATAATCCGCCGCGCCGCGGTTATCTTCAATTGCCAATGGTCGATACACGAGCCGATGTGCCGTCCAAGACGAAAATTAAGCCCACCACCCGCAAGGTCGCCAAGAAAGTCATCAGCTTTACAGGCCAGCTGTTACTGAGCTCCACAGCCTGGAATCGTTATATTGCCGTCTACCAAAACATGCTGGAGCGCACCGATGTCACGCCCGCCCAAATGTCCTACCAACAGATTGTCTTCAAATCAACATGGTTCTTCTGTGTGGCCTGGCTGTGGCGCATAGTCAATGTCCATTCGTTGATGCACTGCGTGCTGCTGAGCATATTCTGCGACAAGCTGTTTGAATTCCTCAAGGCCATCCAGTACAGTGGCTACATAATCCTGCTCGTGTGCATTTGCATAACGGAAATGCATCTGCTGGAGGCGCATAACTTCATCTACAACACGATGAGCAGTGGTAGTAACATAACGTCTTTCTGATAAAACAAAACCGATTTTATCTACCCCTATTTTTTACTTTTAACGTTTTTCTTTACTATTATTAACTATAAATAATAATGTTTTTTTCTTATTGCAATTGATGTGTTATAAAATGTGAATGTATGTATGTAAATGTTGTAAAATATATATATGATATTTTGGATAATAACCTAAATGATGGGGTATTGTGATTTGATTGTGTGCGGCGAAGGGGTAGACAGATGGTTTCCAGGAATTCGGTTGTGCGTGTGTGTGGTTGGCAGACCATATAAAACGTCTTGGCTAATTGTGGTTCGTTTCTATTGTGTAGCACATGTCAGAAGTGGGTTGGAACTCAAAAGGTGGCATTGCTTTTGTGGAGTCTGGCAGTAACTATGCCTTCTCTTCAACGGCGGAGAAGTATTATTTTGGAAAAAGATCAATTAGTAGCCATTCCAATTTCATAGTAAGATTGTGTGTTTTATTAAAGTTTGAAGAACGGTTTTTAATATTTCCAATTCTCCATATCTAGAATATAACCGAGGAATGTTTGCTCAAGGAACTTTTAAACGATCCATTGCTAACGAATTATGGTGTTCTCATAATGACAGACGCCCTTAAGCGTACCGTCATGACCGATGCCATTTTGGCAATTTTGAAGAAAGTCATAAGGAAACGTCCCACCCTAAAGTTGATTCTGGTGGCCGTCTCCAAAGAGGCAAATTTTCTACAGGAATACTTCACGGCTGCTGCCAAAGATCGCAAAGACCGCAAGGCCGAAATAAGGAGTGTCATTCTATCCATTGACGACCACAACAAAGGTGTGGTCCAAGATATTCTCTACTTGAAAGAACCTTGTGCCGACTATGTACAGAAAACCATAGGCACCATTCTCAGTATACACACACAACGGCCGTTGGACGGTGATGTAATTGCCTACATGGCCTGCGAAGAGGATATCAGCAGTGCTATGGCTCTGCTGCGTGAAACCGAAGGTACCAGCAATCTGAATTACTTCAGATTGTCACAAATGAAAAATGAAAGGGAAACGGTTTTCTTTCCCACCACCAAGGGAAAGCGAAATGTGGTTTTCACCATAGAACTGTATCAAAGTTCCGTAACACAAGATCGTGTCTACTATGGTATGTATTTTAGATTACGGAGAAATAAGCTAATGATGACAAATTGTAATTTGTTTATTTAATTTCAGTCATCGATTGTGGCTTCATGCAATTAAACTGGTACGAGGCGTCACAGAACCGAAATCACTACCTGACCGTGCCGATTTGTAAACATATAGCCGGCTTGCGCAGCAATTGGAAGAGCAAACACCGAAAGGCAAAGGTATTTCGGTTGTATACCAAGGAAGATTTTCAGGCATTGGCCGACAGGACTGTGGTGGAAATGCGTCGAACTGAATTGAGCTCCATTATTTTGTACCTAAAAGCTTTGGCGGTCAATAATATACTTAGATTCGATTTCCCTTCAGCACCGCCCGCAAGAAATGTACTTACCACCTTAGAGAGTTTGTTTGCTTTGGGTATGTAAAAGTTAGACGAATGCAAGGAAATATTTTTCTAAAATTCCCTTCCTGAGGTTTGAGGTTATGTTACCAGATCAAAGGTTGGATTTGGATTCGTATTTTTTTTAGACATTTCGATCGTTTGTGATGGCCATTTTTATAATGTTTTATTGTTAATAACCAACAAATGTTTACAAAACGTAAATTTTTCTTTTGGTAACATAACCTTTAACCGTACTAAAATTTCGACAGAAAGCCCAGAGATCGAATGTTAACCAAAATAGTGGGGCTTAATCATAATGTTACCTTGATCTAAGCTGTAACTGTGAAAAATTACAACAGAATAAAAACCAAAAACTCTAGCTGTTCCTTTGCCGGCTACGCTGTATCTGAGAAACGTTTTTGGTTCGGGTTACTATTGTTGTGCTTGCAGCTAATTCAATCACTGTTTTTATAGCCTCAGCCATATGACTATAGAGGGTATATATCATTTGATACCGCCAAAACCCGCCCACGGTCTCTTTGGACCAAATCCGTTTCAGGACATTTGGAGTCGATCCATCGATGTCCGTCCGTCTGTCTGGCTGGTGCGCACGATAACTCTCGAAGCGAGTATCCGATTTGATCCAAACTTGGTACATTGTAATATTATTGTCAAACTGTGGTAGAGTTCGGAGATGGATAATATCGGTCCAGTCCTTCTTGTACCTCCCCTACAAAATGTCAACATTTTCAAAGAAAATAATTTACTGCACAGAAGAAGAAAGATAATCCAATTATGAAAATCCTATGGATAATATCGGTCAACTCCATTAAGTACTCCCCCACAAAGGGTTCAAATTTTGAATAATTATAACTCATATAAAATGTGATGTGAGGCTCCGATTGTCTTCAAATTACTCACATCACAATATTTTTATTAACCCAAGGTCTGGTGTGAAAATGGAATATATCGATCAACTCCTTCTGGTACCTCCCCCACAAAGGGTCAAGCATTTTGAGCACCCATGAAGCTCAAAAACGCGAAAGTAACGTCCGATTCCATTCACACTTGCCACAACTCAATATCTCCTTCAATACAAAATCTGTTATAAAGTGGTAGAGATTGAACCATTTCTTCTGGTACCTCCCGCACATAGGGATCACGATTTTGAAAAGCAAAATGCTCAAAGAAAGCTAAACAGGCATTCCAACTCTCTTCTAATTTCACACATCCAAATATTTTTTCTAACGCAAGATCTGTTCTTAAGTTGACATACATCTGCCAACCCACAAAGGGTCACAATATTTCTCTTAACCAGAAATACCAAAATTTTTTCTATAAAAATTGTTTTTCTTTTCTCCATGCAGGTGGACTCGACGATCAAGGTCACTTGACTGATCCACTGGGTTATTTTATGTCGGAATCACCACTGGCACCAGAACTGAGTCGTTGTCTCTTCACTTCTGCCGAAATGTTGTGCTCCGAGGAAATCCTAAGCATTGTTTGTATGTTGCAGATTGAACCCATATTTATTGTGACCACCAACAACATTGCCGATCGTCACAAACAGATTGCCAAACGAAAGTTTGAGACTGCCGAGGGTGATTTAATAACGCTGCTCAATATTTATCAGGCATTTGTGGAGAATGCACTGAGTAAAGATTTCTGTCGCAAATACTATCTGAACTATTACAGTTTGATGCGGGCCCACAGACTACGCGAACAGTTGCAAGCATCGTTGTTCAATAAATACAAGTTAGGTTTGAAGTCCTGCAAGTCGGTGGAACAAATCTTAAAATGTCTCACTTCGGGTCTCTTCATGAAGGTGGCCTATTTACATCCTTCGGGTGCTTATCGTACCTTACGTTGTGGTTCGGAGGTTTATGTCGATCGAGATTCGGCCATTTTTTCAATAGCCCAACCCAAGTACGTCGTATATGTGGACCTGTACGACAAAACGAAGATATTTATGCGCAACATAAGCGTCATCAAAGAGGAATGGTTGGACGAACTGGCCCCTCACTATTATAAGAGATTTAATAAAAAATAAAAAATGACTTCCCATTTGAAATTCAAAATAAACTCCAATGATTTCGTGTTTTTTTTTTTGTTTTAGAATTTATGGGTGTTTTATTAAATGCAATGGTAATGATTTCGGTTCTATTAATTATACGGTGTTTTGTTGTTTTTCTCTATCTTCTTCTTCTTCGTCTGATGCTGCTGCTGATGTTGCTTTTTCGTAGATGTCAACTCGCGTCTTGTTTCGACTATTTCGAAAATACCGTACCGTACGTTGTTATATATTTTTGTTTTGTTTTTCTTTTCTTTTTTTTTAATATTATGCAATAAATTGTGTGTTTAATAAAATTTGACAAATACTTTGTTGTTGTTGTTGTTGTTTGCTGATGTTGGGTTGTTTCTTCATTTTTTTTTGTTTGTTTTTCTTTTACTTTGAAAGCGTTTATCTCTTTGTTTTATGTTCTCTATATATGCCATATGTGCGCACTTTTAAAGTAAAAATGTGTGTGTGTTTATATACATAATAAGTGATGCTGCTTTAATTAGGCGGATTTCGAGGATTCTCGCTGCTTGGTATATACATGGGCATAGGTACAGCTGAATTGTAAGCACTAGGCCGTTGGTATGTGCCATCCTCAACGACACCACCGTTCATGGCGTACTCGTCCACCTAGAATTGGTAAAAATTGAAGAATATGAACAAAGTAGTTGTGGGTAAAACTGTCACGAGCATCTATCCAACTTACCATTTGACGCAGCATTTGGGTGTCTTGGCAAGATCTTGCTTGGGATTGATGCGACTGCTGTTGCTGTTGGTCGTCCTTGTTGCGGCCCGAGTTGCTGGTGCCTCGCTGAATGGTTCGATCCTCGTAGCGTGTGCGTCCCTGTGAGGCCATGGGCCGATTCAATGTACTGTTCGAATTGTTGGGCGAGTGGGCTGACGCACTGTGAGAGTCAATGAATTTTGTTAGGAAATCCTGTTCCTTCCAGCCATGCTTTTTGTAAACATCCCGCAGTTCGTGATGCTGCCACATTGTGAACAAGACCTGACTAGCAAATTTGTTGACGCACGAAGTATACTTTTGACGCTGATTGGTGATGTTCATGAGACGCTCAACACCGCCGGCGTCCAGCAGAGATCGCGAGAACTCGGCGTTCTTTTTAATCACCTCATTGATGGTGGCCAGTACAGCAGTGATCGTGTCATCGGAGGTATTTTGATCGTGCTGGGATTACCGGAAGGCAACTTTTGTACTAAGTCCCGCATAGCATATTTGCCTATCAGCTCTTTGTTGCGCTGATCAATGGCCAAATTCCTTAAAGCTGTAGCAACGGCGCACACCACGCGATCCACTTCCATGCGCAGTAACTCGACTAATATCGGCAAGCCCTTTTCTTTGCGAACGGCTGCCCGTATGTCTATGCTCGGCTGCCAATAACAGGCCGACAAATTTTGTATTGCACCAGCTGCCGCCTCAAGCGTTTCGGGATTTGAGCAACTTTGCAACAGAGCCAAATAATATTGCACTACTTCGGGTTGCCACAAATGTTCGTAGCCCTTTAGTGGTCCTCGGTTGCTTTGATCGCTGCCATTGTTCTTTGAACTTGAGCCGGATTGGACGCCCCCGTCCAGCTGTTCACTTTGGGCTTGAGCTTTCTTCTTTTTGCTAGTGCCAAAGCAGCCGAGGTTTTCGCCTGAAAAAGAAATCGCAATTAAACGGTTTTCGATCTAATAAAACCATTCAACTTACCCTTGCTCGAAGATAAAGCTCTGGTCGGCACAGATATTGGCTGCTTATCGTAATTCGGGTCTTCGACCTCCTGGCAGCGATACGAGAGGTTACGTAAAATGCACACACAATTCTCTACGGTCTTATTACTAATGTTGTTCTTTTCAATTGCCTGACGCACAACGTAGAGTAGGCATTCCACCAAATGATCGCAATTGCGCAACTGAGTGCGTGCGTATTCACCTGCGGAGCTTACATTGCGCAGAACGCCTGATGCATTTCGAAATACTGTGGAAAAACATGTGTCACCGGGACAGGCTGGGTCCCAGCCGGAATGTGGATGTATAATATTACTAACGATCCCCGACAAGCATTCATCGATGATAAAGCGTTTAATATCTTCACACGAAGACATATTCCAGAGAACACCCGTCACTGTAAACAAGGAAACATCATCAGTAACATAAACAAAAACATATCACACACTACCCCCAGAGGAGGAGCCTCACCGAGTTCTCTAACTTCAGACTCTTGTGTACGACATAATAAATTGACCAAGGCTGCTAGACCACCAGCGTTTTTGATTTCTCTTTTGTTTTCATCATTTTGTCTACCATACGACAGATTTCTTAAGGCTCCACACGCATTTCTGAAATTATTCCAAAATTGACTATTGTTCTCTATCACACTACACTTGTACATACTTGTAGATCTCAGGTGCCTCGTAGGAAAGCAATCTTATCAGAGGAGGTATGCCGCCCAAGATACGTGTTCGTTGTTTGATTGGATCATCCATGTAGCACAAATGCTGCAAATATGCTGCGGCATTGGCCTTAATTGCATTGTTTGGGTTATTGAGAAAGCTTATGACTTCAGACAGATTTGGATCTCGCCATCGCATAGTGGAACAAATGTCGCTGCAAGACCCGTCCACCATTTCATCCTTTCCGCCGTTGCGCATGTGCTGCGACACAATACCGAATGAACTAATCGTCAGTTGGGACATTTTATTTTGGAAGTCGTGAGCGTCATCGAAACCCGGTTGGGGCAGACCTATGGCACTAGCGACCTCAGCACCATTCCGGTTGTCATCAAACATGGGTGGCCTTGTGACGTATGCATTCGATTTGGCACTTACCGAAGGCATAACATAGTTAGCTTCCGACACATAGCCATAGGCCACGGGTGCATCTTCCCCATACTGAGATTCCGGCGGAGGAAATTGCATTACCGGATTCATGCCATACTCCGCCATTTCCTCGTACTGGGAAGGTTGTAAATAACGAAGATTTGGTGCTGGCATCATTCCACCCTGATCCGGCTGCATGGCGGCTGAACTATTGAGTTCTTGTACCGAACTTGTCAAATTGCTCTGCGAGCCAATTACCTTTGCTGAGCCATGATCAGGGCGATATGAGCATTGGGAGCCCAAGCGCCCCGCCATGCCCATGCCAGCTGAAGCCTTGGTCGTTGCGTAGAGTGAAGCATTTGGATACACTGTGGTATATTGTCCGTACTCCTGCAGAGCAGCGTTCTGTGCTTCAAAATCTGCCTCGTCGTTTAAACATACCGAAGGCTCCATGCTAGATGGAAGTTGTCTTTTCGCTTAAAATTCCCTTGTCCTCAGCACGATGATTCCTAGTCCTGCAAAGGGAAGAAATTCAATTACCAAGGATCACTGGGCGATATTGCTCGTACATACGTAAATCTAACTAAACGTCGTTTGCCATTAATGACCGACGTTTACAAAAATCCAATCCTGAAACAACGAAAAAATCCCAATTATTCTCTTTCAAAAATTTCCACTCGAACGCAATTTCAAGTCAAAAATTAACACGGCTTAACATTTTCATTTTCACTGCCATTCCGAACCCAACAATTCGAATTGGGCGTAAAACGCCGAAGAAAAAAGACGCAGAAGTCGGCGACTGCGAGTAAATTGTATCTTACATAGTATATATGTATGTTTCGTTGTACATTATTGATTTTTTTCAAAAGGCTGAGAACTTTTTACATGCTGCTACATACATACACTTAACATTCTTGTTATACATATGAATGCGGCGGCTCTTGTTCGCAATGCAATGCATCACAATGGAATTGCCGTGCTTTCCTTTTCGACTGGAAAAAGTATCGAGAGTGCCAACAAGGATTGGATTAGATAGATATACGACGACAATTAGCAGCTTACAAATAATACAAATTAAAATTAGCAAACAACTTTCTCCACAAACAATTGTTGACCGCACCTGATTTTTTAGAATAACACATACACACACATACACGTTCATTCATTAAGGGGGTAGATATCGATACGACAAAGAATTAGGACGACGGTTTGCGTCTCAAAGAGAATAATGAATGTTTTAATTAATCACTTGTGTACTTTTATTCACTTCGAGTTCGTCCATCTTCAAGAACAAAGTTTCCAGCATACGCAATGGGTTTCTAAATATTTTTCCGTAATTTTCCTATAGAAACTGAAGTTATGTGTATTAAAATACAAAGAAATTTTCAGAGACGCCAGTTACTGTTCCCTGCAAATAGAGATGTGAAGATCGATTTTTGACATTTACTCAACCGAATAATCAGCACATATTTGAGTAGCTCAAAAAAAACCGAATACATAAATAAGAATCAGAAGTGTACAGGTTTTTTTTTATTTAAAAGTACTTTTGTTTATTTAAGACTTCGTTCAATAAAGTTTAATTTAAGACAAAATCGTGAAAAATGAAAAGAAGACGAGGTTTTCATTTTAGAATATAAAAATGTTGCATTGTAATTTTTTCATACGCAGATACATGAATGTGATACATGAACGTCATTTCAGTTGTGAGATACATGAGTAATGTACATATGTACTTTTTCACATGTCCTTGTTCCATAGCAAAGTATAATTAAATCAAAAGTCTTGTGTACGCATATATATAGAATTATATTTGCGTTAAAAAGTTATCCGCAAAATATTAAAATTTGTTATAAAGGAAATAAAAACATATGTTAATATCGCATTTACACCATTGAGGATTGATCAACTGGGTTCATTAGATCTAGAGAAATGCAATCCTGAGGCTATGTCCGCTTTATTATTCTATAAACATTAACAAGTTTGTAATATACAGGGTGAGATAAAAAATTGCAAAAAAAGTCAAACGCCATAATCTTTCCTTTTTTTTTTAAATTTTATTGAATAACAGCAAAAAATGTCGGAAATAGCATCAAATTTTAGATTAAGTTTAGATTTGTTCGGCCAATGAAACCGTCACAAGCTGCCCGAATGTTGCTCTGGTGTATTTTGGCCCATTCGCGGCGAAGCGCTTGCTTGAGGTATATTTAGTGCCAACCTTGATTTCCAAAATACTCCAGACACAATAGTCCAACGGATTGGAATCAGGAGATGTTGGTGGCCATTGTGCGCTGGAACTGAAGCGAGGGACCTCAATTTGTAACCATTCTTAGCGCGTGGCGCGTGCTGATTGCGATGATGCTGAATACTGTTGCAATGTCCAAGGTCTGCGGCAAAATGTTTGCGTGCCCATGGCTTTAATACACCCTCCAAAATATTTTCGTGATAATATTCGGCATTTATTCTGATGCCACGGTCGATTAATGCGAGCGGAGAGCGACCATCGGCTGTTATGGCGGCCCACACTATCACCATCACTATGGTTTGCGCTTGAATTCTGGTGGTCAACTGCCAATCGAAGGTGCACATTTTCAGCAGAACTCTTTGGCAAGTAAATACGAGCGGATCATTTTGTTTGTTTACAAACTGCTGAACCACGAATGTTTTCTCTATTCGGAGAAAACCAAATTCGCCACTTCACCACTTTCGGCCAAGCGAAGCAACTATTTAGCTCCTTTGAGTCTATTTTCTTTCTGTTGAGGTGTAAGTTCTTGCACCTGATTGGAATTTCAATGGCTTTACCCCGAGCTCATTTTTCAATATTTGGCGAAGGGAATATTGCGATATTTTCATCTCATTTTTCGGCCACTGCGACGTGGGTCGCTTCTTCACTTTTCGAATCATTTCTGCTGATGTTGCTGTTTTCTTCCGTCCACTTCCTTGACGTCGGGCTACGCTACCCAGTATCACGGTAACGAGCGATGGTACGAGACACAAAAGATTTTTTCACATTTAAATGCTGGAGTGCTCTAAAGATATCCATTTGTGGTTTTCCAGCCAAATATAAAGAAATCACACTATCACGCTTGAATACCATCACAAATAATTTTTTTTTGGAAAATTCTCACCAAATTGATTTTGTACGCTTATAAATAATATAATGGACTGTCACTGGAATACTTTTAACAGCTGTCGGAAGAGTGGATTAGAAATTACAACAGTCTGAAGTTGGTTGCTATTTTTTCATCTCACCCTGTATATGCAGTTTGGTTTCAACTTGAAAGGGATGTTGCTCTCTCCACGATTTTCTAGCGATTGCTTGAAGTGTTAAAAAATTTGAGATTTGATTAAAATTAAATATTTTAAGAACTATACACATCTTCATTTAAAATTTTTAAAATTAAAATAATTTCTGAACTTTATTGTTTTGTTTACATTTTTTGACTTCTAACTGCGATATTCTTCATTCGTGGAGACGACAAAGCCGACGGCGGCGTTCTCCAGAAATAAAATAGAGACGTCAGTGCGCCGCCGACATAAACAAAATAAACTCGCTTCCACCTCATACAAAAACGATTGCCGAATATCGGGTAATCGACTACTTTCACATTTTCTCCATCACCAATTGTGCATAGTTAAGATAGATTTATTTTGGATGTAAGATCACGAAAATAAAAGAAAAGAAAAAGTATTTTAAAAGTAGAACTTTTCAACAATCCAAGCAGTGAAATTTGATCCAAAATCCGCAAAGTTTTTTCCATTTCTTGTGTATTATGTGGTGAAGGTAAGTGTTTCTGGAATGTGACTGCAGAGGCTTTCGTTGGTTGACACATATATTTTTAGAATAGAATAGTGAGTGAGTGAGGGATACAACGAGAGACACACACAATGATGGACATCAACAAAAGAATGCAGGGACTGGACGAGTCAAGTGTAAGACAAACATCGGAAATGTCGAATTTTCCGGAATCACAATTTTCCGACACGTCCAGCAACGTTCAACAATCAACTGCCAGCAACAATAACAACAGCCCCTGCGAGGAAGAATCTACTGTAAACTTTCCAAAAACAGAAAACAGCCCCATGGTGCCAGCGTCTGATGGAGATATAGATAATATAGGTAACTCCAATGGTTCTGGCCACAACATCACATCGCCAAATTCCAAAAACACGAATAAAACTAATCCCAATGCCACGCTGACCAAGTCGGGTAGCGACGAGAAGGAAATCAAGGAGGAAACCACATTGTCGCCACCGCACACTTCTCCACTTGCTAAAAACGATGACAACGACGAGAGTCAAGAACGTGCGAAAAGTGCTGGAGCAGCAATGACTGGAAGCGTAAATCCCAATGTAGAGGGAGTCAGCACAAATGTGAGCCCCAAATCCAACCCGGACATGTTTAATAACTCCACAAATATGCAGAATTTACCCAGAGGTTTGAATCCTTATAACAATGGAAACAACAAGTTTAATTATCCAAACCAAGTTGTTGGCATAGGAGGAGTGGGAGTAGGAGGAGGAGGCGGAGGCGGCGGCGAAAATCAAGGACCAATGAATCCTGCAAGCAATGGAGGAATCGGAGGAGGCAGTGGCGATTACCTGCAACAACACAATCACGTGTTTGTATTTTCCACGCAACTTGCAAATAAAGGTGCCGAGGCAGTTGTCGGCGGACAATTTCCCACAATTATAGCCTACCATTGTATGCAGCCATCGACGAAGTTATTTCTGGAAGACTTTTTAAAAAATCCAGCCAAAGCTTCAAAAATGCAAAAACAGAATCCACCAAACCTAATGAATCTCATGCAATCGGAAATGATGGGAAACCGACCAGGCGCCCAACCCTTTTGGTTAAATGATGGCGGTAACAATGTTGGCAAGATGCCACATAGGCCCCGTTCCCTGCGCAATGCCGGTGTCGTTAACAAAAATAGCCCTAGTTGGGAACAGGCCGCTAATTTGGATAGTAAAATCGGACCACCATCGAATCCTTTGGATGTATTGGCCAATACTGAAGGCTTTGATAGTGCCCAAATGTGCGGTGGAGGTATTAAGGACGTCGATAAATCCAATATACCTTCACTGCAGGGTGTGAAGGTTCCAGATGAGAACCTAACACCACAGCAGCGGCAGCACCGTGAGGAACAGCTGGCAAAGATAAAGAAAATCAATGAGTTTTTATTTCCCGAAAGTGATGGCAATGATTTCCAACCACCAAACATGATGAATAGCAGTGGCGGTGCCGGGGTAGGGGTACCTTCGGACGGAGCGTCTTGTACAAATAATGCAACTAATCCAATAGACAGCATGAACAATGCTTTAAATACAGGAAAAATTGCCCCGGCGGTATCCGGCACAAACATAGGTGACGATGTGCCACCAACTGGAGCTACCGGCGGAGATTCTATGCCCTTGGGACCAGGGCAAAACTCAAAACAAGGATGTACTTCAAAAATAAATGCAAATTTAAATTCATTGAAACCCAACCCCAGTGCTCCTGATTCGAATCCAGACATGAACCCTTCCTTCAACATGAACAGCTGTCCGTCGCTAGAAGGCGATGCTGGGGGTCACAGTGGTGTCCCACCAGGGATGAACATGCCCAATGAGGAGTGGTCAAAGTTTCAGAACAATATTTTCCCCGACGGCTTCAAATTCAGAGAAAACTCCAATCCCATGAACAATCCCAGTGGTTTGCCCGGCAATCAATTACCCAACCAAACTCCGTCATTGCCCCGTCCGCTGTCTACAGGTGTTGGAGGATACGGTATGCAATCCCGCCCCAATGCCGGTCCCAGTCCTACAAACCGCAACAACAACGGGCCTCCGCCGCCATACCATCAAACACAGCGCTCAGCATCAGTGCCAATATCGACACAGTCTCCTACACAGCCCAACATCAACAACGCCACTGCAGATATAGGCTTGACATCACCTCATGGAGGACGTGTTCCCTTTGGAATGTCTTCAACGCCGCCACACATGGACTCGTCTAACACTTCCACTAGCGTAACTAATCCATCACATTCATCAGCTACATCCTTTCCCGGCCTTAACAGCGGCAATGTCAAGAATATCTATTCATCCAATATGAATTCATCACAGAACTTCGGCGGGCCACAAAATCCTGCAGGCCTCAATAATATGTCAAACTCCCCCGGTTCCCTGTCACTGCCCCATTTATCCCACGCAGAAATGGATCCCATGAATGCTGGCAACAAACTGAAACGAGGAAGTCCTCAGAAAAGCAAGAGCCCCCTCATCAATGATATGCAAGGCAACATTGGCATGGATTCCAAATATGGAAACTTCGGGCTCAATTATAACATGTGTGGAGGAGGCCCCGGGGGCAATATGCCGCACGTTGGTCCCCAGAACATGCGTCAGAACATGGGACAGATGCCACCACAGTTTTGTCGTCGCATCGACAATATACCACTTAATCCGAACTGCAATCGGTTGAACCAGAATAAGCCGGTGGGTAATTTTGATCCCATTGCGTCATTAGCTCAGATGTCACAGCAGTTGACAGGCAGTGCCATGGGATTGGGCTCGCTAGGTGGTGGCGGTGGCGGTGGCGGCGGAGGAGGCGGCAACAGTTCTTCGACTGGTCTTATGGATGTCAACAGCGGAGATATGATGGGAGGACCCCCTGGTCGCAGTGACCATCCCTTGGACCACTGCAACCAAATGCCTAACAACAACATGGGAATGCCAGGAATGGGCGGAGGTGGTCCTGGACGTCCTGGTCCCTATGGGTCCGACCCAATGAACAGCATGGATGCAATGGATCAGCGCATGTTAAATGGGAAAATGTGTCTGCCGGGGCACTTTAATCACAATCCCCTGACCGGTGTTGGGTTGAGAGACTCCAACATGGGTGGCAACGATATGATGTCTGCAAATCGCGCCATGAATCGTCGAATGCCAAATAATTTCGATAACTTTAACATGTCGTCGAACGTGCATGTCCGTGCAAGCGCTCCCAATACCATCCAGTATATGCCTGCCAGATCTCAAAATATGAACAATATGCGAATGCCACCCAGCATGGAGTTCTTTCAACGTTATGGTAATCCTCACGGCAACCAGATGGGTGGTGGTGTGGGCAATGCACCCGGTGGAATGCCCAACAACGATATGCAGAATCCCAATATGATGAATTTATTTGGAAATTGTGGTCAGATGCCACCTAATGGACGGGGAGGTGGTCCCGGTATGGGTGGACCCGGGCCAGTTGGTTTTGAGCCGAATGATCTGGGAGTTGAAGGCAATCTAATGCACAACGATGCACCCTACATGAATGTACCATGAATCTCGACGAGTACATCATGCCCCATCGTCATCGTCATCATCGTGGTCGTCGTCGTCGCCAACGTCATCAACATCAAATTTGTGTCCCTGTTTTTGTGTCGTTCCATGTACTCATTCAGTACAATACGAAATTCTGTAGCAAAATTGATGTAGTGCCATTCTAAGCGCCACCCTCTTGTCTTTAACACGTTACGCTCGTTTGTGCTCCTAATCATCGATGAGTAAATGAAATTTGTTCGTGTATATTATTACAAAAAAGAAAAACAAAAAAGAAAAAAAAGAAGGAAAATATGAAAAAAATAGACATAATTAGTTTAAGAAATCTGATTTTCTTTAATACATGTTGAAAATACATACAAATACCGTTGGGCTAATCCAAACCGAATTTCGTTTTGTAAATTGTGGACGGACACAGCACAGCATACGCTAGCCATGGCTGGTGAAAATGTTCTTGTTTTCGTACCTTCTGAAATGCTGTATAAGAAAATTGATCGGAAACATTGAATTGTGAGCGTAGCTCAGATCAAATTGTTTCTAAAAAAATGATATAAGAAATACTCTTCTCCGTTTTTTTTTTCCGAAACCCAGCAGACAAACCATATATTCAATGGTGCAAGCTTATTCTTTTTTTTTCTTCAGACTCTTTTGGCTTGCACATGATCGTAACAAAAGCAAAAAGAATAACTAAATATTTGTATTATTTTCCCAATACAATTTGTATCTTAATTTTAGTTTATTCCTATAGTAAGGTATTATTTAATGGTATTTGATTCGAAGCATAATTTTAAAACCGGTCATTTTTTTTGGCGGTATGAAGCAGCAGCTGGAGATTTTTAATTTTTTTTTCTATTATTATAATTATTAGTACTATAGACAACACATCTGATTTCCGCTTTTAATTTAATTGTAAATTGTATTGTTGTATGCATGTAGTTTACAAATTACCATCTATCCCCCCCTCCTCCCCCTTTATGTATATATTAATATTATACCTATCTATAAGCAATATTGTATATTGTAATATTCACAAAGATTTGTTCTTTCTTTTAATTTCTCTTAGTTTCTTGTTTAACTTTAATCTACCTTTTTAAGTGTATGACCTAATTATGACCCACTTTGGAAATGCATTAGCCAGTAAGATATTTCACTTTGCATCACTAATAAAGGATTGGTAATGAAATAAATACATATGTATGTACATGGGGGGTATGGGTGGGGTGATGTGTTCCGATTTTTAAGTGGTACTTGTAAAATGATTGATTTCGAGTCGTGTCGTATGGACCAAGGCCTACATAAGGTCGGCCAGTAAGCCCATCTGACAACTAACCAAGTTTGTTGTAAAAAAACCGGTTTGAAATTCAAAGAGAGTCAGATCACTCAAAATATCTCTTTCGAATCGCTCTCTTTTAAAGAATTTTTGTGTTAACTTCCAATAACAATTTGCTACAATTGTTACAAATTTAAAGGTAACCAGACACACCTACAAGATCTCTGAATAAGATAGGTATGTCAAATTTGGAATATATTTCAGTTTTTTTTTTTTGGAAATTTTCTGTCAACTTTAAATCCAGAAAACTTTTTTTTTTTTTGAAAATTGCTGACAACCCTACCTATACAATGTACCTTGGTCAATGCTACAATAAACCTGCATTCAAATAATAATATCAAACGCTTCATATTTTCTAATTTGTCTGGTCCAATTTTAGCTGTTTTCAATAGGTTCCCATCTCTGATATGTGTATATATGTGTATATATGTTATTTATCATTGATTTTTAAAATATATAGTTTTTTTTATTTAAAACTTATATATAGTTCTACTTATTTTTGAAGAAACGTTTAAAATTGTTTGAAATTTCATTATTCCTAAGCTTTGATGCTTCTACCTTTGGTAGTAAGCATGGTACAATAAGGAGATAAAACAGCTTCGTAAAACTACAGAAATACAGCCCTGCGGCTATGCCCGCTTCCTGTCAGAATTATTCAAAAATTATGGGCAACAAGTTATTTTCATTTATTAGATATTTTTGTTAATTTTTAAAATGAGCCAAATAACGCGAAAGATGAATAAAATGCCTGGGTTCAGTCTTCAAATTCCATGGCAAATCTTGGTAATATTAAAAATGCGCGCCCCGCAATTTAAGTTTCTTCCAATCACTGATTTTGAAAATATTTTGTTTTTACTCTCCAAAACAAAAAATAACTACACAAAATTGGCAGAAGTCTGCACACTTAGAAAAAAATTGTAATCAGCTGGTAGCTCTACCCTACCTTTTTTTTTGTACCATGGTAGTAAGTTGAGCCTTTATAAACATGGTACAATAAAGAGAAGGTAGGCTAACTTTAAAAAAATTGCATGTATAGAGGTCTACCTATTTTGCTTGCAATGGCAGAATTACTATCAAAACAATCAAAAAAAAAACTTGTTGCATTGATTTTGAATAAATAATTGAAAACGGTAAAAGGTCAAAATTTCTTTTCAAAATCATGTCCTATATATCTTTAGAAGTTTATTTCGCTACAAAAACTGTAGATTTTGTCGATGCATACGTGGCAACAAGCATTTTGAAAACACCCGAATTTGAATATTTCTTTTTAACTTTTTTTATTATTTAAAAGAATACACACACATAAACAAATAAAGTTGATATATTAAGCCAAGAAAATAAAAAAAAATTAGAATCATTGATTTATCACGGGTACCATGGGTATAAATTAAGCTATTTAGCCCTGTATCTTTGGGAAAATAAATAAATGTAAAAATTTATTTAAGAGACTTCTGATATGCTTGCGTTCTACCAAATGGAAAAAAATCTGGAACAGAGTTACTGTCCGGTTGGTTTATTTTTTAGTTGTCTTTTCTGCCCATCGTATTCATAAACTGAACCACATGGAATTGGAACGAAATGAGATATAGGAATTGGTTCACACGGCTCCTAGCTTGTTCACTTCAATTGTTTTACGTCAATTATTCGACAATCTTTTTGTCTTTTCCATAATATTTTGTATTTTGCTGTTACTGTTACTCTTTTAGTAAAAGAAGAAAGAAGAATCAATTACTATGTGTACTCTGGTTCCTTCGTTCATTTTGTGAACGTTGCAGCTGTTTTTACGAGAAAATCGAACAACGAATTTTTCGATTTTCAGATCCCTAATTTGTATATTTTGTTTTGGATCTCGATTCCTTTACCCTACGGTTTAAATGGGGTGTTTGCTAAACTTGTCATTCCGTTTGCAACACATCGAAATATTCTTCTGAGACTCCTTAACCTATATATGTATATCAATGATCTATGTTGAGTCATGTGAAAAGGGAAAAAACCTCAAAATATATCCAAGAGTTTGTACTAAACTAGAGTTGGTTATACCTACCTCTGGAAAAAAAAACTCTTATAAATCCCATAGTTTTAAACTAGAGTTGTTCCCAATTTGTCCATATAAGTATAGCCCCATGTAAGTAAAGCCCATTTGACCATAAGTCAAATTTTCAATGGTGAAGGGTGTAAAAAGTTCACCCAGCCCATCTCGCCGTCATTTCATTTCTACTTGTTATCTTTATTTCCTTCCATTTGCTTTGGTTTCTTAGCCAAGTTTCTCAGTACGTACGACAATGTATAAAATATAATAAAAAAATGAATTGCTGTAAAAGTTGGATATTTAACAAAAATATGGAATAAGTGAGAGGCATGGTTCTGATTAGTCAATAAATAAAGTAAATACTAAACAAAATAACAAATTAGTTGCAAAAATAGACGTCAAAAAGGTGATTTCATTTCGGGAAATTTCGTGTCATTTTTCCGGTAAATTCAATAAAAAATTTATTTACAAATTCATCGACCAATTATGGCCAGAAGTAAAAACGAAGGTTCCCTCACGCTGAGTCACACATCAACCTAAGCATGATTGATTGGACTCCAACACGATGTGCATCAGTTGTGCAATCTATAGTCTTGACAATGAAGCCTTCAGACAAAGATATGGAAAATAAGAAAACCCATAAAACCCATGCATTTTTTAGCTAAACTGGAAGAGTTCTAATGAAAAGCGGTAGATAGGTATGTAAAGCATCCTCCAATTCCATATGGATTTATGCTAATCGCACTGATTTCTTTTCCAGAAGCCTCTTCTTGAAACTCGTCGTTATGTCTTCTTTCTTTCCGGCAACAATACCAAGGATACTCATAAATAAGGAGGAACGGAATGCAACATACAATTAAGACATCCAACAGTCCTTGCGAAGAAGAACATTTATATGGCATCCAAAGGACTGATGGAAGTGAATGCTCGGCAACCGGAGATACAGGAGGAGGTGGTGGAGACATTGACAATACAGCCGGCGATAGCAGCTCGCCAAACACAAAACAGTCGTTATGTAAACAGGGTGCTTTGAACAAAATAAAACCCAACAATGTACACTCAGTGGCCTCGACAAAAGTCCTTACAGAGGGACATGATATCAAAAAGGAGGAGCCATCTTCACCCGTGTCACAACTAGGATTTGTGACAAACTCTGGCATATCCCACTGTGAAAATGACGATCGTGGCACTAACATACCGCTTAACGCCTCACCCTCCACGTTTCCCAGAAGTATTAGCTGCAATGAACTGGAAGAGAATTCCACAAGTGCTAGTGTTAATATACCAGGCAGTTCCATTGATGGTTGTGGTCTCTTGAATACAAACATAAGACCAAAGTCTGAAGATGGATGTGTTGCATACATTTCGAATTTGTCGAAAAATTTGAACACACCCATAGGAAACAATAACCCAACCCAACAACGGCAGGCGGAAAAGCAGGGTCTGCTTAATTCAACTAGCCATAATAGTGAGTTCTTGCAACCCCAAAATCATGTATTCGTTTTTTCCACCCAACTAGCCAATAAAAGTGCAGAAGCAGTACTAAGTGGTCAGTTTCCAACAATCATAGCTTATCACTACATGCAGCCATCCACGAAATTATTTCTAGAAGACTTTTTAAAAAATCCCTCCAGGGCATCCAAATTACAACGTCAGTACTCAGTGAATATAATAAATGCTATGAATTCAGCTGGCGGAGGTGGAAATGGCCCATGTGCGGGTCCCCAGCCTTATTGGCTGAATGAATGCAACAATTCTGGCACACCATCAAACCGCCAAGGGTTGAGTAGTGCCGCCGGACCAGACAAAACAAAACCCTTGTGGGACGAGACAATGAATCCATTTGATTTGTTGGGAGCCAATGAATATTTTGAGAATGCAAAAGCAGCCGCCATTATTGGCGGTATGCGAATGGAAGACAGGACAAGTATGATACCATCTCTGCAAGGGATAAAAGTGCCGGATGAAAATCTCACTCCACAACAGCGGCAGCACCGCGAGGAGCAATTGGCCAAATTGAAGAAAATGAATAAATTTCTATTTCCTGAAAATGATTCGCAAACCTTAACAACACAATTGCCCGCTGCAGGACCCTCTGGAAATTCTGCTGATGGGTTGCACAATCCTTCAGGAAATTGTCCAGATGCTTCTAATAAAATGTTTCAGCAATCTTTGCGCCATTTGCGTGGCAATGTGGGAAGTGAACCAAGCATTCCTTCCGGTGGCCTACAATCCAGTAGTAAACAATCGAATCTACCAAAAACGAATCTGAAAGACAGGACTTCATGTGATGCAGGCAACGAACAAAGCAATCGTTCGTCTAACATGGCTGCCTCCTTTGGCATGGCCGATAAGAGCTCTGCTTCCGAAGGAAACATTAAGGAAACTATGTTGGGATCATCCAACCTCAATATGACCCAAGATCAGTGGAATAAATTTCAAAACAACTCATTTCCGGATAACTTGAAGAGCCGGGAAACAAACATTGCCGACATCCAGGCGGGTGGCGGACCTACGCTGTCACGGTCCATGTCGATGGGATCAAGTGCTGGTGGTTATAGCGTGCCGCCGTCTCGTTCAAACACTACAACAAATAACGACTGCAACAAAGGCCCTCTCCCACCGTCTACATACCAGCAAACACAGCGATCGGTTTCAGTACCAATAGCTACACCATCTCCAACGAACATTAACAGTTCTAGCCAAGATATGGCACTGACATCGCCACAAAGAACAAACCCGGATGTGGTGGCAAACACATCTGGCAACACAACTCAATCCACCCAGTCGAATGCAACAACATCAAGTGGAATCCCAGGTCCCAGTAACAATGGCGGCTCCAGTCTCCATACTCTACCACCACCAATGACTTCCGAAGAAATGGATAGCCTAAAATCAAAAGAAATTAGTCCCCAGCAGAAATTTAAAGGACACAACGGAAATGATATCCCTCCCAACAACAGTTGCATGGATGTGAAATACAACAATTTCCATTTGAATTATCCTGCAGGCGGTAATGTTATGGCTCCCACTGTTCCACAAAATATGCAGCGTCACAGTATGCAGCAGATGGCTCCTCAGTTGTGTCGTCGCATCGACAACATGCCATTAAATCCAAACTGTAATCGCTTGAATCAAAATAAAAGCGGAGGCCATTTTGATCCAATATCTTCCCTTGCCCAAATGTCTCAGCAATTGACTGGTTGTGGCATGGGTTTAAATTCAATGGGACCTGGAGGTGGTGCAGGAGGAGGCCTTTTGGAGGGTGATGACCTTTTGCTGGCACATTCTGGCCATGTTAATGATCGCACTTTAGGCCACTGTAATCAGTTTTCAAATGCTAATCATTTGAGCATGATGGGAATGGGTATGAGTGGCGGTGGAGCAAATAGACCTGGCCAATTCCATGGCGACATGAACAACATGTTATGTGGCGAACGGATGGATGGACGCATGCTAAATGGCAAAATGTATGTACCTAATATGGCGGGACACTTCAATCCAAATTCTATGAATGGTAATCTTGCCGACCACCATGATTTGTTATCGCCGAATCGCCAGTCATTTGGTCGTCGCCTTCCCACGACATCTTCCAATGTCCAGATCAAAGCGAATGCCCCAAATACGATACAATACATGCCGGTGGTCAGGTCTCAAAACATCAACAATATGAGGATGGCGCCGAATAATGATTTCTTTCAAAGCTACTCAAATCAACAAATAATGGGAAATGTGGGTGCTGGTCATCCCACTGGCATCGGGACATCTTCCGGTGGCATGTCTAATACGAATATGATGAATATTTTCGCCAGCTCTAATCAAATGCAACAACTAGCTATTGGCATGGGTGGCGACGTTAATGGAGGTTTTGAGCCACACGATTTGGAGTTAGAGGGAAATCTTCACCAGCCCACTGACGATTACATGAATGTGCACTGAAATCTGAGAAGTCAGAATGTCAGTATTCTTTTTTTCTCAGATTACCATTGACGATTTTCCGAATTACATGGTCATTCCCATGGTCAAAAATGCAAGTCAACTGTTTTATTCTACAAAGCAGAATGCAAAACTTGAAGTGATTCCGACAAACGTTTGTTAGATGGAAACTAAGATACTACCCTTAAAGGAGGGCCGACCTATCTGACAGATAAGGCGTTTGTTAGAAAAAAAATGTTTGATACATTTTTCTTGCGTGAGCAGCCCCGAAACTTCATCACTTAGGGGTATTGTCTTGTTGATCCTGCATTAAAGCAAAATATAAACATAAATTATTCATACACAAGTCTAGATATTACACTTGGCTAGGGAAATTTATCAGAAAAAAATATAAATCACATAAAAAACTTTTCACCTTTACATACATATTATGTATATGCATATTACATACCAACAATTCATTTTAAATGAAAGTAGTATTACTATTACAAAAAGTAATAAAATTAAGTTTTTTTAATAAAAGAAAAATAGGTACTTGTTTCTTTTTTAATAATAAGCCGAAAATAGGGAATTTTCCCAATAAAGGATGAGAAGGAATTTTGTAAAAAGAGATAAAACGAATCCTTCCTTGTACCAACGAAAAAGTAACGATAATTCTCTAAACCAGATCTGAATTTTCCTAGTTTCATATGAATCAGGACGTAGTCCTGCAGTGGAACTCGGCCAAGATAAAATACTTATACTTAGTAACGAAATTAAAGTAGTCGCTAAGACCGATAGATACTAATGTTGTAAACTTTAACTTCATTTTAATATCAAATCAAAAATTTCCCACTACGATTTACAGCAATTTTTGATTTTTATCAAGGCTTTTCTGTCATCGTTATTTATTATAATAAAGGAAATTGACAGTACGAGCATTTGTTTCATTTCCATTCTCCTTTGCCGCAAGTAAACTTGCCTATTGTAATTCGAGTGCATTTCTTCTCCTTAAAAGGACGTGACACAAAAAGGTTGGTAGCCGCATCGACACATCTGACGGTACAATGGACTGTTAACAAAGTTTTTAACTAAAATTTGAATAATTTTTGAAGGAATCCGTTAGGAACTACGTAAATTGTGTAGAAAGGAAATGAAACATTACGCCCCATGTCAGTTGAACATTGGGATTGATTTCTGTAGTTCCTTTTAGAGAATAGTATTTTTGAACCATTTACTAATTCATTGAAATTCTCTTGTTTTGTGTCCAGAAAGAAATAACCACCAAATAAATAAAATGGATTCTAGTTCCTCTGAATTTGACAAAAAATATAATATTGTGGATGCAGTTACGCCGAAACATATTCCGCTATCAGGACGCTATAAAAAGTTAGAATCATAAGACAGGTGATACCTGGACTTTTGGGTCTTTGTTGCCTATAAATAACGCCACTCGATGTAGTCCAAAGATTATTATCAATTATAAATTCATAGGGAGATTTGCTGCTAGATAAAGAGGAAACTCTTTTTCTTCTTCTGACTATTTCACTATTTATTTTTATTCAATATTATTCCAATCCAATTTTAATGCTGGATTCTAATTCTAATGTAGGAGCTTTGCCTATCACACGCTGAAAGAACGTCTGCCGGTTATATTAACCCAAATAATAGATAGTTTAACAAAAGAAAAAGACGAAATTTCAGAAAAGTATCAAGGAGAGGTACAATTGCTATCCACTTAAGAATCGGAATACCCGCACACTGTAGACGAAACTCATTGGACATTCTTCTCTTGCAGGAAACGCGTGAGGAGATCAAGAACATTGTGGGCCAAATTTCCAAATTGAAATATCAACTCCAAACCGATAAACCGTTTGAACATTTTCAAGGCCTCGAACCGGACCAAGAACTGTGGAACAGTTTCATAGATGCTTTGCCAGAAAATGGCCGCTCCTTTTATCAAACGGCATGGCTTTATGGCGAGTGTTATATGTATAGGAAGGTGTTTTCGTTTTTTGAAAACTCCCAGACTTTGAAGACTTATGACTACTTTTTCAAGCAAAAAGCCAAGGCACTGGCTATGGATGAGGTTGCTGCCATAGCCAAGCGTTTGCGAAGCACAGACAAGAGCTATGAAACGTTTTCTCGATTGTTGAAGGTAACTGAGTTTAATGGGTGAAGTTCGATTTAATTTTGAGTTTCTTTTTCTTCTATTTCTAGTTGAATTTATGGGGCAACAAATGTGATCTTTCAATAATAATACCCACAAACTTCGATCCCAATCAAAATGTCTACGATAACTGCTCAAAATTCGATGACCACATATTGGTGGATAACAGCAAAAGCATATGGGAGTGTCTGGTTTCTGCGGAACAAACGAAACCTGTTATAGTAGACTTTGTTTTAGATAATGCTGGATTTGAGTTCTATACCGATTTAATACTGGCCGAATTCTTGCTGGAAAAGAATTTGGCCACAAAGGTGCGTTTTCATGTGAAACCAATGCCTTGGTTTGTTTCAGATGTTACCCCAGCCGACTTCCAATACACATTTGAGTATCTAAGCAATCATGATTTGAGTTATTTGAAGGAACAAGGACAACGTTGGAAGCAATATGTGACGGAAGGCAAATTTCAATTGGCCAATTTGAGTTATTTCTGGTGCAGTCCAATCGAATATTATAAGTGAGTGTGGGGGGGGGGGGGGGGGGGGAATTTTGTTATAAAAAGAGTGGAGTTGTACAACTAAATTTTATTTCTTTTAGGATGCGTGAAGTGGATTTGCAGTTGTTCCAATATTTAAGTGAGGCCCATTTAATTATTTTCAAGGGCGATTTAAATTATCGTAAACTCGTGGGCGACATGAATTGGGATCCCACAGATGATTTTCTAACATGTCTAAGAGGATTCCAACCCACAAATTTGTGTACCCTGCGCACAGTAAAGGCCGATGTGATATGTGGACTAAAACAAGGCAAAGCCGAAGAATTGTCCCGTTTGAATCCCAAGTGGATGGAGACTGGTGAATATGGACTTATCAAATACATGGAAACCTCTCAGTGTAGCTGTAGTCATGATGGCAAATAATTCTTGTTTTGCTGGAAATTGTAAAAACTTTTGAAAATTACTCTAATCAATTTGCTTTTGGTTTGAAAATAAAGACAACTTGGAGAAATTAGAAACAGGGTTTATTTTTGAGACGACTAAAAGGTAAGGACTTGGTCATTTTAGAAAATAGTCTACGATCGGATCATAATATGATAGCGAATTAAATGTTGGGAATACAATCATTTTATATCTGTTTTACCAAACCAGATGAGACAATTGCTAATAAAAGAGACTGACCTACAAAATATTCAAATTTGTGGTACATATAAGGAAAATGTTTAAAGTAAATAAATTTATGATCCAATTTGCCTTGCCAATTTGTTTATATTGTTGATGATCTGTAAGGTAGTGTATATATGTATGTGTGAAAAAGAAAAGCGCACAACGTACACGATGAGTTTGGGGGAAAATCAATAATGTGCAGTATATGTAGGTAGGTAGGTATATATTTTGCATTTAGTCTTCTCATACACTTGTTATTTTTCTTAGCGATTGCATGTCCCAGCGCAGCGCAGTATTACGTAAAAAAAAAAATAAAAAACATTTTCTGTTTTACATATTCTGCCAAAGGAAGAGGAGAGATTTTTTGAAATCAGATAAGTAAGGATAGATTGAAATAACATGGTAAGAGAATATGCACTTAAATTATGTTTATGTGTGCTTATGAGTATCTGGTTTTCCACATAGTCGCTGCCATCGGCTGATATATCCTTTGGGTTGGAATCCATTGAAAAACTGAAAACCCAAGTGGAAAACAATGGAAGATTGGAGAAGATTGCATCCAAAGGTAAAGTTCAAGGACAAATTTTGTTTTTTTATATTATTTTTTGGCAAATAACATTGCTGAGACGGATTATATGAAACAAGTAAAAGATTATCAGTCGGTTTTGCACAGATGTATACCCCCAGCCTTGAGTTATGATTATTTAAACTGTTGACCCTTTATGGGGGAGGTTCCGTACCAGTTGGCCAATATTGACCAATTCGTATCTGACCTAAGACAGATAAAAATATTACAACATTCCAGATTTGGACTATATCGACAACGTCCAATATTTTATATGAGATATGTGTGAGGTATAGCGGACTGTAGTATTCCATTCAAAATACAGATCAAAATACTGGTATGTGCAAAATTTGAAGGAAATCAAATATAAGTATTGCAAATTGTGAGCCTTTGTGGGTGAGGTACCAGAAGGAGTGGATCGATATATACCAACTTCACAGCAGATCTTGTGTTAGTAGAAATAATGGGATGTGTGAAATATGAAGAGAACCGGATACTTATTTCGGATTTAATGATTGTTTTGGTTATTCAAAACGTTGACCCTTTGTAGGGGAGGTACCAGAAGAAATGGTCCGATCTCTACCACATTTATAACAGATCTTGTGTTGGTGGAAATATTTAGATGTACCAAGTCTGTATGAAATCGGATGTTGATTTCGCGATTTATAAGCTTCATGGGTACTCAAAATTTTGACCCTTTGTGGGAGAGGTACCAGAAGGAATAGACCGATATATCCCATTTTTACACCAGACCTTGAGTTAATACAAATATTGTGATTTGTGTAATTTGAAGAGAACCCGATGCTTATTTCGTATTTTATTTATGATTGTTGTGGTTATTCAAAACATTGAACCTTTGTGGGGCAGGTACCAGAAGGAATGGTCGGATCTGTACCATCTTTATAACAGATCTTGTGTTAATGGAAATATTGAGATGTGCCAAGTCTAAATGGAATCGGATGTTAACTTCGTGTTTTATAAGCTTCATGAATATTCAAAATGTTGAACCTTTGTGAGGGAGGTGCCAGAAGGAGTGGACCGATATATTCCATCTTCACACCAGACCTTTGGTTAAAAAAAGTATTGTGATGTGTGGAATTTGAAGACAATCGGATTTTTACATCACATTTTATAAGAGTTAAAAATACTGAAAATGTTGACCCTTAATGGGGGAGGTACTTGATGGAGTGGACCCATATTGTCCATTTTCGCCCCTGACCTAGCACGGATGCAAATATTAGGATTCGCAAAGTTGCAGCCAAATCCAATAATCCTTTCTCTTTCTGTGCAATAAATTATTTTCTTTAAAAATGTTGACATTTTGTGGGGGAGGTACCAGAAGGAGTGGACCGATATTGCCCATCTCCGAATTCGATCTAAGTTTGACAATTACATTAAGATGTAGCATGTTTGGACCGAATCGGATACTCCCTTCGAGAGTTATCGTGCGCAACACCCAGCCATACAGACGGACATCGGTAGATCGACTACAAATGTCCCCAAAGAGTCCTAGGGTCTAAAACCGTTATTTCGATGAGGCACGTTGATGAGACTTTGACGAATGAATTCTTGAGAACTTATCCCATTTAAAGTAACTCAAAAAAAGTATTTCCTATTTCATTTAACAGACAGGCCTCCAACAAATTCTTCAAACCGGGATTCAAGGAATTTATGCTTTTTATAAATTGATTTCAGCTCCTGATGTCGACATTTGGAATAACTTCATTGCAAATTTACCAGAAAATGCATCCTTTTTCAACATTTGTTGGTTGTATGCTGAATGTTACCTTTACAGGCGGATATATTCTGTGTTCGAGGCAACCAATACTATGGCACAATACGATTATTTTGGACCTCAAAAAATGAAAGCCCTACAGATGTCCGATCATGTCATGGAGGAGTTAATACAAACTACCGACAATTGCGAAAATACCTGTGAAACATTTTGCCACATGCTAAAGGTAGTAGTGCTCTAAAAATACATCTAAGTAGAACTAATTACTAATTCGTACATTCTGTTGAGTACAGCTCAATCTCTGGGGTAATAAATGTGATTTGTCTTTGAGTTCGGGCAAGGATGTCAAACCGCTGGAAAATCTAAGCCAACTCATTGTTAGTCTCAACACCAATATATTGGTCGATGACAGTGCCGCCATTTGGAACTGTCTGAATCAGCAGCCGGCGCAGCAGCAACAGGTTGCCGATACCAAGTATGTTGATCTGATATGTGATAATGCTGGTTTCGAACTATTTACCGACTTACTTCTTGGTCAGTACCTGTTGCAAAATGCATTGGCAAAAGTTGTGCGCTATCATGTCAAGGCAATGCCGTGGTTTGTTTCCGATACCATGGCGCAAGATATACACAAAACTTTGAAATACCTAGAGGGCCACAAGTCGCACGTTTTAAGGGATTTCGGTAAACGATGTAGCAAATATTTTGAAGAGGGTGCATTTCAAATTGCCGAAGAGAGCTACTTTTGGACAACGCCCTACGAATTTTACAGGTAAGCGTAGAATTGACCAAGCATAGGTCTAGCCTAACCGCCGATAATCTTTAACAGAATGAGCGAAATTAATCCCAAATTATACAAGGATTTGTCAACGTCATCACTGTTAGTGTTTAAAGGTAATTTTATAAAAAGAAAAAAAATTTAGTGGCAATGTTGTCATGTCAATTTGTTGCCCCCCTCCTTTTCAGGTGACCTAAACTATCGCAAATTATTGGGCGATTTCAATTGGAATTTCAGCGATGATTTTCGCAAATGTTTACGTGGTTTCAATCCCACCACACTTTGTACTCTGCGCACAATTAAAGGTGATCTGCTATGTGGACTTAAACCAGAATCGGTGAAGTGTCCCGACCTGGCCCGCCAATTGAGTGAGAGCAAAAATGATTGGATGTTCACGGGGAATTATGCAGTTATACAGTTATTGTTGTAATGTGTTAATGTTTTTTAATTAAATATATATGTATTTGTTAAACAAAAAAAGGACAATGAACAAATATGCGTTAAAACAATTGAATTAAATTTGAACAACTAAAAGAGTATCAGTCAGTTTTGCCGACAGAAGTGTACGCCCATCCTTGAGTTATGATTATTCAAACTGTGGACTATTTATGGGGGAGGTTCCGAAGCAGTTGGCCTATATTGACCAATTCGTATCTGTCCTGAGACTGATATAAATTTTACAACGTGGCAGATTTGGACTATATCGACTACTTCCTATACTTTATATGAGATATTTCCAAAATGAAATTGCTGGTTAAGAGAAATATGTTTCGCAAGTTATGGCAGTTATAAGAATTGGAAATTGTGACCCTTTGTGGTTGAGGTACCAGAAGGTGTTGGCAGATATATATCATCTTTACAACTGATTTTAGGTTAGGAAAATTTTTGGATTAGTGAAACTTAAAGAGAGTTGGATGTTTATTCCGCTTTCATTGAGCGTTTTGTTTTTCAAAATCTTGAATTCTATGTATGATCTCTACCATCTTTATAACAGATCTTGTGTTTATGGAAATATGGAGATGTTCATTTTATGACCTTCATGGATACTTAAAATGTTGATCCATGGTGGGGAGGTACCAAAATGAGTGGACAGATATATTCCATCTTCACACCACACCTTGGGTTAATAAAAATATTATGATGTGTGTAATTTAAAGAGTACCGGATGCTTATTTAGGATTTTATGATCGTTTTGGTTATTTAAAACTTTGACCCTTGTGGGGGAGGTACCAGAAGGAATGGTCCGTTCTCTATCATCTTTATAACATATCTTGTATTGATGGATATATTGAGATGTGCCAAGTCTTAATGGAAACTGATGCTAATTTCGTGTTTTATGAGCTTTTCATGAATATTCAAAATTTTGACCCTTTGCAGCGGAGGTACCAGAAGGAGCCGACCAATATGTTCCATCTTCACACCAGACCGTGGTTTAATAAAAATATTGTGATGTGTGTAATTTGAAGACAATCGGACACATACATCACATTTTATAAGAGTTATAATTATTCCAAATTTTGGCCCTTTGTGGGGGAGGTACTTGATTGAGTTGACCGATATTGTCCAATTTCGCACCTGACCTACCACTGAGGGAAATATTAGGATTTGCAAAGTTGGAGTAAAATCGGATTACCATTTCTCTTCCGGTCAGTATTTTTTTTTTTTTTTTTTTTGAAAATGTTGACATTTTGTGGGGGAGGTGTTGGAGTGGACCGATACTCGATCTAAGCTTGACCATAATATTTATTTTATTTATTTATTCAAACTCATTTATATTACGATTACGATCAGCAATATTACGATGTACCAAGCCAGACGGACGGACGTACATCGCTAGATCGACTCCAAATGTCCTGAAACGGATTGAGTCCAGAGACATAGGGTCTAAAAGCGTTATTTCCATGAGGCATGTTTTGACCCTATCTAGCCATATTGCCGAGGGTATAAAAATAAATAGAAATCATCACAGATTACTATAGGTCCATAAGGGTCATGACTTCCAACTAGAGTGGCGACGACACCGATTACTGCTAGCTCTTTGAAAATGAGCAAACTGAAACAGTCCAACATTATTTCTGCCACGTTTTAACTCTCTTCGTTGTGAGACACAAGCCTAAGGTGGAGTAAAGTATGCACGATATGTCTTCATTCATTCTTCAGTTAGCCAGAAGACTAAAGTGGCCAACGATTGCAAATTTTCAGTCCGAAAAATGTAAATTGAAATATGTCTATATTGCTATCGTTGTTATGATTTTAAGTTTTTTTTTTTGGGAAAAAGATATGTGTGAATGTATATTTTTTCGATTCTTTTGTTTTATTAGTTGGTAAAGTAGTATATAATGTTGGATGTTATGTATAACATAAATTAAAGTATTATTTTATGGGTAAAGTGCTGGTGTTTTGTATTTCGTTAAATTTATATGAAAAGCCTAATCCTACGTTTTTTTTTCCTATAGAACATATTCATAATATGTGTGTGTGTGTAAGTATTTAAATCTGTGGTGTTATTTACAAAATGTTATTGGAAATATTGAAATGAAATTCAGAAATGACATAATTTTTCAAATGTTTTTTTTTCTTGATTGCATTTATTGGAAATACTATTGCATACAAATTGTTTTGCGATATGTTGCGAATGTTTCAACATTCCCATTTGTATTCATACATATGATACGAAAAAAGGGAGATAGTGAAATAATAATGATAACATACTTAAGGAGGAGGGGTCAGCAAATTTACAATGAAACCAAATCTCAGAACTTTTAGTACAAAAACAAAAACCTGTTCCCATTTTCTACTACTAGTCAAAAAAAAAAAAAAAAAAAAAACAATTTGTGCTAAGATCAATTTTCATTTTCATAAGTAATATTTGAAATTTTGCATACTGGCAGATTGAATTGAATTAAACTGAACTGTGTTCCTGTACATAATATATTTATATACAGGGTGAAAGGAAAAAACTGCAACCAACTTCAGACTGCTGTCATTTCTAAGCCACTCGTCCAACAGCTGTTAAAATTATTCCAATGACAGCTCATTATATTGTTTACAAGTGTACAAAAAAGGGTTTTTTTGAGAATTTTCAAAAAAAAAAAAAGTTATGGCGTGATTGTGTGATTTCTTTATATTTGGCTGGAAAACCACAAGGGGCTATCGTTAGAGCACTCCAGCATTTAAATGTGAATAAATCATTTGTGTCTCGTACCAAAGCTCGTTACCGTGATACTGGGTAGCGTAGCCCGACGTCAAGGAAGTGGACGGAAGAAAACAGTAACATCAGCAGAAATGGTTCGAAAAGTAAGGGAGCGACTTGATCGAAACCCGTGTCTCAGTGGCCGAAAAATGGCTCGTGAGCTGAACATATCACAATATTCCATTCGGCAAATATTGAAAAATTAGCTCGGGATAAAGCCATTGAAATTCCAAAAAGTGCAAGAACTTACACCGCAACAGAAAGAAAATAGACTCAAAAGAAGTAAAGAATTGCTTCGCTTGACCGAAAGTGGTGGTCTGCAGAATTTGGTTTTCTCCAATGATAAAACATTCGTTGTCCAGCAGTTTGTAAACAAACAAAATAATCCGCTTGTGTTTACTTGCCAAAGAGGTCAGCTGAAAATGTGCACCTACGTTTGGCCAGAACCAGAACTCAAGCGCCGGCCATGGTGATGGTGTGGGCCGCCATAACAGCCGATGGTCGCTCTCCGTTCGCATTAATCGACCGTGGCATCAGAATAAATGCCGAATATTGTCGCAAAAATATGCTGGAGGGTGTATAAAAGCCTTGGGCACGTGAACATTTTGTCCGCAGGCCTTGGAAATTGCAACAGGACTCAGCACCATCGCACTCAGCTCACGCGCCACCCAAGAATGGTTACAAAATTATGTTCCTCGCTTCATTTCCAGCCCACAATGGCCACCAAAATCTCCGGATACCAATCCGTTGGACTCTTGTGTCTGGAGTATTTTGAAAAGAAAGGTTGGCACTAAAAAATACCAAAGTGTCGATCACCTCAAGCAAGCGCCTCGCCGGGAATTGCCCAAAATAGCGCAGAGCAACGTTTGGGCAGTGTGTGACGGTTTCATTGGCCGTTTGAAGGCCAAAATTCGTGCCAATGGTGACCAAGTCGAACAAATCTAAACTTATTATAAAAATTTATGCTATTGCTTTCATTAAATAAAATTGAAAAAACAAAATCTAAAAATTATGGCGTTTGACTTTGTTGCAGTTTTTTTTTATTATTTCACCCTGTAGTATGTATATCAAAAAGAATATTGGAGATTTGTTTTGTGTTTCAGTTTTTTTTTTTTTTTTTTTGCATACATAATACAATCAATACGTAATAATTATGTTTTGCTTTTTGTTTAATATTTTAACTAATATCACTTGAATAAATACACTTTTTTGCAATAAATCTAATTATGAATTAAGAAATTATTATTCAGATTGTGGTGGTGTAGTGTGTCTGTTGTGTTCTGCGCGCACACACTTTCCCTAAACACCATTGCAATACTAGAACTATAAATATATGTTTTTTTCCGTCCGTCCTTTCTACTTTTGATCATCCTCGTCGTCTTCTGTTTATTGTGTGTGTGTGTGTTCCGAATATGCGAATAAAGAATCTAAGTAGTTGCAAATATCATTCTTAATATGTCAAAAAGAATTTATTTATTACCTATATACAACATACAAATGAATAGATGTATGTATGCTTCTTGGAGAATTTGTTTAATTTGTTATTGTTTTTTTCTTGTTTTTTTCTTTTTTTGCTTTTTCTATTGTTGCTTGGCTACAGCATTGGCTCTTTGCATTGCCAATCCACATTTTGTTTATGTTAAAAATCAATTCATCTTGTCTTATTTGCAATATCCTCTGGGGGTCTCTATTTTTGTTCGTCGTTGGATTTCATCTTCCTCACCTTCTTCTTCATCCTCATCATCATCATCACATACTTAGAATTAGAATTAGAAAAACAAAAAATACACAAAAAAAATAGATAAACACAAAATTATTCCACAGCAAATCCACAGGTCTCCTCCACGGCTTGGGTGAGCTTATCATACAACAATTGATAGTTTTCGTAGGGGGGCAAGTCGATGCGATTGAAACATGTGTGAGCCTTGGGCAGGTTTTGTGTGGGTACATCTGAGGTCAGATGTATTGTGAATAGCCTGGGACCCACAGCCCCTGTTGATCCCTGCAGGGCCCGGAATCCTTGTAGGGGAACCCTGGAAGAGCCCGTTACAAATTGTAAGAGTCTTGCACGCATTTCCGAGCTATACGATTCCACCGCCTGCAAAACAGAAAGAAAGCCATTTCAAAACCCAATTCCACCTACCACTCGGCCAAACAACTCACCTGCCAGAACCAAACAACTTGTGGTGTTTCTGGGGTACAATGTTTCAGTCGGGTATTGTTGCGCCAATCGTTGACATCTATGCTTGAAATGCCACCAATAACCAATTCCAGTTCTCGTTCATCA